TGCTTGAGTAGCCTGGTGATTTCAGAGTTAGAGTCACACGACATATTGAATTATATGAGTCAGTTTGATAAACCACGAAGTAAATTTTGGGCCCATCGCATTATGTTTTTGTAAACATTTGATTTTGTTGCATTTTTGAAATAACTCATAGTCAGCCTTGGTGATAGATTCGACATCTAGTCAGCATCTATCATCGGCACACATCACGTTTTGGGTCCACTAGAGTAATTCGGGATGGGTCGTGTCAGAGTGGTATCAGAACATGGTTTTGAAAATTTTTATTGTTCATGCATGTTCAATGGACATGATCACATGTCGTGGTGGTAGAAATCATAGGCTCTCTAGCTCAAATGTATGGAACCAAAAATAATAAAAAGATATTTTTAACAGATCCAGAAAAGACTAGTATGTAAGTATGATAGTTGCAATGATATTATGGTTGGAAATGTTATTAGTTGTTGGGTTGAAACTATGTGTGTATGTAACCTAGTAAGATTTGAACAGATCGTGATGATTTTGCGGGGCATCCAAAGTTACAGGTGTTATAGCCACTTAATTATCAATTTATATGTAAAATTATATGATTTTTTTATGTATACACGGGAAATTTTTAGTTATAGCTTGCACGATAAATACAGGTAAATGATATGATGTGTAATTGGTGATAATCAGTGAGGAATTTTAATTATTTTGAAGCCAAATGGTCTTTAGTGTTATCAAAATTTTGTGGTGATTTGTGGCCACTTATATGGGATAATAATAGAAATCATAATGGTGTATCTTTATGCTATGTGATAAGAAATTGTGAAGGACAAAATAATAATTTGTTGATTGATCGATGACAATGTGTTATTGTATATTTTAAGCATCGAGCAAATTAACAATAATTTCAATTATTTGGATTTTTTATGAGTTATTTGATTATAAGGAATGTGAGAATAATAAGGATGAACTTCATAATGATTACTGATTATGGGGTTATTTGTTGCTTTAGAAATAGAATCAAATGGATATGTGCATTTAGGTATGTTTATGTGGGAAAAAAATTAGAGAATGGTAGAATCGAAATTTGTTGAGAGAATCGAAATTTGTTGAGATTGGGAAATTAACATATGGTATATTGATGTGTGAAATGTTCACATGATAAATATGAAGGTTATCATATTGTGATATTGAGGAAAATTGATATAATTAAATGTTTTGGATCATACGATATGATGATAAATACCAAGGTTAGATGATCATAACATGATATGGTAAATAGCATGTAAATGAATATAATGGTTGTCCTATAGCAAAATAATGTGATGATAAATTTGGGTTATTAAGTTAATTAATTTTGTTGAGGCCATTCCTTGGATTATTGTGTTATATTCCATACAATTTGGAAGTATTGAGTTAAATTTTGAAGTTAAGATGAATTTATTGAAATTTTAGTGATATAATTTTTGGGCTATTTTCAATTGTATGGATTGTGAAAAAAGTATTCCATTTTTATCAAAATATATTTGTTAAGGAATATAAGTAGGACATGTTGGCTATGTCTAAAGTTTAAGATGATAATCAAGAATAAATTTTACTCATTGTGAAATAGTATCTGTAGGTTACACAATATTAATTAAAGGTCTTTATGCGATAAACAAGAAGGATTGCATTGATGATAGATCAACGACCTATTTATGAAATAAGAGTATAGATTTTCATGGATTAAATGTTATTATTGTCTCTTTATAGAAAGAAAGAACAAAATATGTATAAGGAAATGTCAAAAGTTTGCTATTTGGAAATTTTGAGAAAACATTTGCTCTTATATCTAAAGATGATAAGTGATTGATTCATGATAATGATTTATATTAAGGTTTAGAAAGTATTTTGAAGTAAACTCATAAATTATGGATGATACTGTAGATTGTTGAAGAGACATGATTAAAACTTGATTTGGAGTTGGTTATATTGGGATTTTGTTATCACATTGAGAGAAATATCAATAGTTATCAATTATCAAAGTTTAAGGTATATTTTATTCCAAATGGTGGAAATGGAAATTGTGTATATATTATCATTGGGTGATATAGAATTAAAGGAAAAAGAACACCATATTGAGATATCTCAATTGTTTTGCTGGAAATAACTAGAATTTTAGAAAATCATGAACAATTAAATTTTTGGCGATATTGTCAATTTAAAATGGAGGTAGTTACCCTTAAAGTATTTTTTTGGGGATTCCAAATACACAGAATGAAGACAAAATAATATTTAAATCATTGTGGATAGATTGATAAAGGTTACAAGATTCTTTTTAAATGATATAGTCAATTCATAGGATAGACTTATAAAATTATATATAGACAATATTGTTATTTATATGGTGGAATTGAAGTATTTATCTTTGATTAGTTGTAATATATAATTGAATTACATTGTGCATCTTCTTTTGATAGAATGTCAGACACTATGAAGACAAGTTCAAAAGAGAGGCTATCAACTATGGTTGGTTAATTAAAGGAGACTTGGATAATTATTTATTTTCATGGAATTGACATATAAAAACTAGACACAAGTGACAATAATTGAGGTTATATATAATATTGAGATATTCCAAGGACGTATGACGAAATGGGTGAAAGATTGTTATTCGATCTTAATATGTAACCATTGTTATAGAAAAGGAATGTGATTGGAGAATAATTTAAATTAGGACGTAAGGTGAAGATTTGGAGAACATGAAAAGTAGTATCTTAAACCTCAAATTGAAAAAAATAATTGAGTTTTCCTAAGATTTGGAAAAAGGAAAAAGATGAGAATTCCATATATTGGTTCTTTGGAAGTTATTAAAACTATGATGAGAAGGATTAAATTTTGGGACTAAAAGTTTGTTGGAGAAATCATTCAATAGAAGAGGTATTATGGAAAGTGAAGAGCAGGTGTGTTCTCAAAATCCGCAGCTTTTTTGTACTTAATTAATTGAATTTCGAGGACGAAATTCTTTTAAGAATGTGAGTTTTGTAATACCTTAATTATATATATATATTAAGGTGGTGGAGGATTGGATTGATTGGATTGATATCAATCCAATCCAAAACCATTACAAAACAAATAAAAAATCATTTTTTACACCCACAACAGAGAGAAAACGAGGCAGAAAGAGAAAAGAGAGGAAAAAGAAGAAAAAAAGGAAAGGAAAGGAAGGAAAAAAAAAAAGGAAAGGTCTTCTATGTTGTTAAAAAATAAGTGGTCTACACTATTAGGTTTGAATTCCTCAATTTTGAAAGGTAAGTAAAAAGTTACTTATTGTTAAGTTATGTTTAATTTTATAGTTGTTATATTGTTAGACTAAATTTAATTTTATTAAAAGATTTAAGTATAATAAACTATGATATTAAGTAAAGTTATAGAAAAATTAGTTTTAGTGATTAAAGAGACTGTGAAAATCACTTAAATTTGAAATGATTAAGTTTAAGTATCGCTTATTTAGTTATTGAAATTACCTAAAATAATTAATTATTGATTTAAAAACTATATCATATTCCAGGTGGCGGTACGGATATCAGGACAACTTACCAACCGGGTTGATTTTGCGAACATAGTACTACTGTGAGTGGAAAAATATAAATATTTTTAAAATATTTATAAATTAAGTATATTGTTAAAGTATATGCAATTATGTGTTTGAATTATATGGTTATTATGAAAATATCTTTTATTATGATACATGTGAAATTTCAAAGATTGTATACAATATATTGTGAATTGGAATATGAGATATGATTTTGAGATTGACAAAAAAAGTACCTGTGATTATATATTTTTTCTAATTCATTGAGGGGCCTTGGCCGTATTCTATATTACACTGAGGGGTCTTGGAATGGGAATGAAGAAATCTTGACCGTGTACATATAGTTCACTGAGGGGCCTTGGCCGTGTTCTATAATTGATTATGAGAGGTTTTTGAGACCAACTTTCGTTCACAAAGGGGGCCAAAAGTCCGTAGCGAAAGTTCTTAGGGCGGATTACATATTTTAGTCAAATGGTATATTTTTTGTGGATCACATGTGATGTGATAAGATGATGGTATAGATATGAGCTGATGACTAAATCGTGATTAAGAGATGATATTTACAGTGTTATGAGAATGTCTCACTTTTTGTTTATAATTGTATGAGGCTATCATGTGAAATATTAAATGATGTGAACTTGATGTTTGATAAAAATGTTTAAAGGAGAAAATATGATTATTTTTGAATTATTCCACTGACTGAGCTGTCAACTCATATTTTTCTAAAATTATTCTTCCAAGTAATATTGGTCCTTGATAGCTTGAGGAGCCTGATGATTTCAGAGTTAAAGTTACACGACATATTGAATTATATGAGCCAGTTTGATAAACCACGAAGTAAATTTTGAGCCCATCGCATTATGTTTTTATAAATATTTGATTTTGTTGCATTTTTCATAATCAGCCTTGGTGATAGATTTGACATCTAGTCAGCATATATCATCGACGCACGTCACGTTTTGAGTCCACTAGGGTGATTCGGGACGAGTCCTGACATGGAGTTTGGTGGTGTATAACATTGTTTGAAACCGTGAGGAAAAATTTTGAGGTTTAAAGGTGTAGATCAATTAAAATAGAGTAAATCTCATCAATTGCTTAATTAAAATGGATAATATCAATTAAGAATGAAAATGAGGTATATTTAGCCCCTGTTTAAGCATCATTGCATTAAATTCCATTACATTTCATTTTTCTCTCTCGTATTTTTAACTACACAATCTTCCATAAAATAATATTACACGTAAATCGAAAACTTTTCATTCTTTTTCAACCATTCATTTTTAAAAAAAAAATAATAATTTATCCATTAATTTTTCCACGTAATGGGGTCACACAGGGGCTTAATCACTTTTAAGTTTTAAGAAAGGGTCATTTCCACAATTTTAATTGTGCAAATATCACTCGCAGGCTCGCAGCAGTATGCTGGACTCGTTTTGTAAAGTAACAAAACCCCAGCCCAATCATATACCAAGGCGCTCTAATACGATGTCGTTGGTCCCCATAAACCTCTCTTGTTCAAACCCTCAGAGTCCACTGAGGTTTCTCCGTTAATCGAGCGCAACTTTCCGGAGAGACCCATTTCTCACTCATTTTCTGAATACACCACTCGATCTCCTGCAGATTCTGTATTTGTACTTTCAGATTCCTGCTTCTTTTTCTTAATTTCGGTAGAAAATGGCGATTACATCACGGACACCTGATATTTCCGGCGAACGACAATCTGGCCAGGACGTTCGAACTCAAAATGGTACTTTAACATTCTCAATATGTATGTATGCCTGTCTTTTAGTTATGCTTTTGTGTTAATGTGTTGGTTTTTTTTGGAGAAATGTGCAGTTGTGGCATGCCAAGCAGTTGCCAACATTGTGAAATCCTCTCTCGGACCGGTTGGACTTGACAAGGTATAAAAGGCATAATTACATATATTTAGATTTATAACTTCTTGGAGTTCGATTCACATTTGTATTTCTAAAATATAAAGACTTTGGAGCGATATGGAGAAAAGTGAAGTTTTGATCCGTATGGTTAAAGAGGGATCTGTTCTCTAAGTTCCCTTGTTTTAATGCTACTGATATTAGTTAGAAATATAATTAGTATATACTAGTACTAGGAGAAAAAAGCACCCAGCACAAAATATGCAATTACTCTAAATTTTGCAAAAGTAACCAAGTGAATGTAATTTCTTGAAATCCCCTATAGTTGTAGTTTAGTAAATGCTTCTTAGCAACTTTTTGTGTAGAAGCTTATTGTAGTGTATTCAATTTATAATTCCTGTGGTTGAAATTATGCTATTCTTGGGTTCAGAAAAGAAATGGTGTAAATGTTGTAGGTTTCATAGTATGATGGTTAAAAATTCACATGAGCCTTTATCCAGCTTATATTGAGCTATAAAATACTGGGCTGTGACTTTGTCCACTGTGGTTCCTTTCTCCCTTGATTTGGAGTTTTGCAATTACTATGGGTTTGTTCGGTAGTGATATTGGAATTGATTTTTTGATCGTTAAGGAAAAAAGTGGGGGCCACCCATGAGTGGAAAAGTCAAAATGGCTGCTAGAATAGTGAAATAACGGTAAAACTATCAATTTTTTGGGGGTGAAAAATCACTCCTAAGCAGGAGCTATATAAGGAAATGGCATAATCGGGAGCGGGTATTTTCTTACTCTCCGTTGTGACCTAGATTTGGAGGACAGTGAAATAAATCTACACCCCTGATTCCCACTACCTCCCCCCTACATTTAGTTGAGAGACACCAAAATCTGACCTTTGTGTCGTCTTATCAAGGGGTACTTTATAAAGGATGAAAGAAAAAAAAGAAAAAAAATAAAAATAAAAGTTGTAAGCTCACGTGTGGATTAAATTATAATTATCTCTAGAGGTAAATATATGAATCAACTGTGTATAAATGCTCTTTGAACTGGATGCTCATCTGTGATATATGGGTCATGCATTTGGGTTTCTCGTGCTCTTGCCATAGCAATGTTTCCCACTTTCATGACCTGGACCAGTCATTTCTTCTACTAAGCCAATCTGGCACTCATCTCATTACGAAAACCTTCAATTTTTAAAATGGTGCATTTATATGACTTCCTGAACGTTTCTATAAATTCATTGAGTTTAACATAATATACTTTCTTAGAATTTACAACTGGAGCAAAATACTATGCCCTTGATTGATTTGGATAAAAATTAGGTTTTAGTAGATTTTGATAAAAGTTGGTGAAATGTATGCTTGAAAAGTTAATAAAAGTTGTGGATCCTATGAAATGTGCGGTTAAAAATGAGTTTTAAGAAGTGGGGTTCAAATAGGGACTATATCTTTACTATATTTACTGTCATAATGCATTTCAGGAAAGTAACGCACATGTTGGGAATGATTCTAAAATGGTTACCATGTTTCAATAGTTACTAGCTCTCCTTAGGTTGTTGAAATGTTGTATTTGAGTGTACTAGGACGAGAGTAGCACCATGAGAAGTGACACGAGAGAATTCTAGTTTTGCTTCCAGTATGTAATAGTGACAAATTCGGTGGTGCTGGTGTCTTGGGAATGGTAATTGTAGAATACAAACTTAGTAGTTCAATTGAGAAGGCTGGACTAGAAAGTCGAGATTGTTGGAAATTTTTTTCTTTCCATATTTTATTTATTTTGTCTTTTTTCTCCTATTTAAGCCCCTGTTTGGCTTTCATTTCTTTAAACTCATTTTTCCCTTCTCATTTTCAACCGTATGTTTCATGGGATCCTCAACTCACATTTCATCAACTTCATCAAAATCTACTAAAAATCTAATTTTTATCCGAACCAAACAAGGGCTAAATCTTTTTGATATTCTCTTGAAGTGGCCACTCTGCAATGCACGGTGAAATGCATATTGACCATGGAACTAATTGAGGATCCTAATAAAAGTAATGTTCGTTGATGGTTCTTATTTACTCTAATATTTGGAAGAACAACTCCACATTAAAATAAGATTCGAAAGCTCCTAAAATTGATGATGTCACGTTACACCTCAACTCACTGGAACTTTCTTTAACATGCATTGAGTACCCATATGGTATTTAATATTTGCACGTCCTAAAAATGTGATGAAACTCATAAGGAGATATCTTACCCTTGTGCACTTTCTTCTGCATTAAATCAAATCCAAAAGGTGAACTTTTTGAGATGTAAAATTTTTAATCTGTCTCTCATCTATATGGCTTAGGGGTACTTTGTGCTGGTTTGACGTCAGGCGTCGATATTCGTTACAAAAAAGAGCTATTTTTGTTTCACTTCTTGCTCATTTTTATTCATGATGACTAGCAAGCAAGTCATTGTTTTATATATCAACTTGTTAGACAAAGATTTTGGATCCATGTAAACATACTTTGATAATATTTAAACTTCTTATTTCGAACTTTGAACTTTGCAATCTATGTGGGAGTATCTTTGTTGACTATCTGGTCTTGGCTCTTTCCAGATGCTGGTTGACGATATAGGTGATGTGACAATAACTAATGATGGTGCCACGATACTGAAGATGCTAGAAGTTGAGCATCCAGCTGCCAAGGTCAACGGATACAGCATTTTTTTTCTCGTTCATTAATAGTAAACATTTGAAATGTATGAGAATTAACTTCTTCTGGAATAACAGGTTCTTGTTGAGCTGGCAGAACTTCAAGACCGAGAAGTTGGAGATGGAACAACATCTGTGGTAATCATAGCTGCAGAATTGCTTAAGGTAATATCTTATTTCCTGTCTGCCCTACGGATATAACTTTTATTTTCTCATTTCATCTACAAGGTGTTCAATCTTCACCCGAATTATTAGTAATTGCTAATTTGATATTATTATGCAGAGAGCTAATGATTTGGTCAGAAATAAGATCCATCCAACGTCAATAATCAGTGGATACAGAGTGCGTATAGAATGAGATTCTTTTCTTCTTTTTCAACAGGATTTTATCTAATGTATTTGAAATTTCATCTTTTACTTCTTTGCTCTGTTGCAAATCTATTCTATGCTTCTTATTCATTAAAATCATTTTGGTGGCAGCTTGCCATGAGGGAAGCGTGCAAATATGTTGATGAAAAATTGGCTGTGAAGGTAATAATCCCCCTGTGAATGGATACCTTTCGAGTTGTTATTAGTTTTTACTTGGTCAAAATAGTTATTATTGTCCTGGCATGTTTGAATCAATGCAGCCAAACCTCCAAATATCTTTGAAGTCTGCTACTATAAATTATAGTGCAAACTACCGTGTCATATCACTGAAAGCTCACATAATTTTCCCCTATCTTTCAGATTCTTTTTCGAGAAATATTGTTTTGGAATTGTGGTTGTTTTAATTCAAGGATATTTTTTTTAAAAAATAATGCTTGTGAAGACTAATAAAGGAAACTCAGAAGTCAGATGAGTTACTCATATGAATATCCAGTTTATGAAATATTGGAATGTGTAAATATGATTCTGGTATTTTGGGGCTTCTGCATTGTGTGTTTGATGTGACATGTCAAAATTTATTGAGCTTAACAGTTTTTTCCTTATGTCTTCTTAGGTTGAAAAACTTGGTAAAGATTCTCTTGTAAACTGTGCCAAGACGAGCATGTCCTCGAAGTTGATAGGTGGTGACAGTGACTTCTTTGCAAATCTGGTACTGCCCATTCTTTCTTATTCTCTTTAGCAAGCAACAGATGAAGTTACCAGTTCTCAAAGGAAGAGAAATTAGAACAAATCCTAATCATTACTTTGAAAATAGGACACATGGGCCAACTTGGAACTTGTTTTCAATAAAGTTAAATTTGAATTGTACTACACTAATGGTTTGATATCAAATAAATCACGTCGTTGGGGCTAAAGGAGGAAAATATTTTACTTAAATAATATTCCAAATTTCTACCAATTCTATTAACCTTATATTCTTTTAATTGGACTTAACTTGATGTTGTCTAATCCAAAACAACTTTTTCTTAGGTCGAAGACTCCTATTTAATTACAAAGCAAGTCAAATATCGATATACTTACTTCGCTATATCAATATTTAATTATTTGGCCCAAATAAATTGAATCTAAAACTATATAACTTTAGTCCCTCCCTTAACTTCCAAAATATAAAAATCTAGACCAAAAATCTTATTCTATGAAATTTCGGGGCATTACATCTTCAGTTTTGGTTATTGTGTCTTGTGAGAATATATAAGCTTATAGATTACATAATTATATAGCTATTCATAATCTCTGTCTCCAATACCTGTTGAACTAATGTTTGTTTCTAGGGTTCAACATGGTTTGGTTCGATTCGGTTCAGTTTAGAACCGAACTGGACCCGAATTTTTGGGTATTTAGTAAGTGAAATCATCATGTCCAAATTTAATTATGGAACTGTTAGGGTTCAATTTCGTTTGGTTCTCAAGCTTCGTACTATAATTAAATTTTTTAATATTTACAAAGTTATATTAATTTAACTAATAATATGTTTAATCTTAGCTCCTATAAGATAACATAGTCCAATATTATGTATCTTTTGCATCTCTCTTTGTTAGTTCCTTGTAAATTTGATTGTTAAAATTATAGGAAGACAAAAATAATGAGCTCACAATAATTAAAAGGGGCACAGTTGATTATCAAATTGATTTCTCTAGAATGATAGAAACGACATTACTTTAGGATAACAAATTTGAGTACAATTTAAAAAAATTGATTAAGTTGGGCCTGGACCGGAAATTAGAAAATTATATTTTTAAGTTTGAGCTAAATTTATTTGTTAACAAATTTATTTAAAAAGTAAAATAATTTGCTTATTTAAAATTAATAAATTAGAAAATTAGTGAGAGTCGGTTCTTATTTGGTTTTTCAGTTCTTGATGGTTTTTGATGTAGAATTAAGAATTGAATCAAACTCGTTGATTCTAGATTCAAAATACCTGTTCGGTTATTTAACTTAAGAAGAATCGCTCGATTCGATTTAGTTCTTGTCTGGTTCAATTCGATTCGAGAATTTTGTCCAACCTTATCTCTTTTTGTAAAGTCAATTTTTCAATTTGAATTTATATCCCTAATTTGAATTTTGCCCCAGATTTTCTGCATTCAATTGCGTTCTTGAGTAGACTGTTACCACATACTGTAAACGTTTCTTCATTTTCCTTCTACTTTATTGTACTTTGAATCTTTTGCCTTGTGAGAGTTTCTCTATGGGCTTGATTTTGTGCAATAAGGAATGCCTATTTTTTAATGATCATATCTTTCTCGAGGAATCCTCATGCAACTTACTTTTTCTTTTAGGTTGTTGAAGCTGTACAAACAGTGAAGATGACAAATGGGAGGGGAGAAGTTAAATATCCAATCAAGGTTGGTGGGCTCATGGTTCAGTACTAAATTTGTTAGCCTCTTTTGTAGATAACTTTTCTGTTATCCTATTAATTGAACCCATTGAGCTTTATGTATGATAAAAGTTTTATGTCGGATTTAGTTTGAATACTTCTGTACAATGGTGCCAATAATGGGTAAAAACGTCACACATTTTGTGGATTTAGAATTGATAGCTGAATACAAGAAAGTAATTTCCCCCAAAGAAATAAATAATTTTTCTTGTCAGGATCCTCTAACCTTCAATTTGGAATATGGGATTGTAACAATCTTGTCTCTCTTCAGGGAATTAATATTCTCAAAGCCCATGGAAAAAGTGCTAGAGATAGCTATCTGTTAAAAGGATATGCTCTCAACACTGGCCGTGCTGCCCAGGGAATGCCGATGAGAGTTGCCCCTGCAAGGATTGCTTGTCTTGACTTTAATCTTCAGAAGGCTAAAATGCAAATGGGAGTCCAGGTTTTGGTCACTGATCCCAGGGAGTTGGAAAAAATTCGTCAGAGGTAATTAATTTTATGATCCTTTGAAGGGTTATTTTAGCATTGATTAAAGCAGTTTTGACAATTTACGTGCCCTGTAAAACTTTTGTGTATAGGATTGTTAGGTACTTCTGTGCAATGTTTTATGTTCATCTTGTATGTTGGCATGCATAAAAGGAGTAAGTGAAAATGCAGTTGTGCTGCTAAATTATATCCAAACCATTAACTTCTACATAGTATGTACTCTTGAAATGCTGTTGCATCTTTTTCTCTCAGGTATTGATTATGCCTTTTAAGAGACAGCTTTGTAGGCAGCCCTACATTCATCGCAATTTAAATTTCTATACTATAGGCTGGAATGTTTTCTTGCAGAGAAGCTGATATGACAAAGGAGCGTATTGACAAGCTTCTAAAGGCTGGAGCAAATGTTGTTTTAACCACAAAAGGAATTGATGACATGGCACTTAAGGTAAGTTTTTCCCTTGATTTGATTCCTTTGAATATTTTTTATATACTTTTATTTGTTTGTCTAGTGTTTGTTGGAATTTGTTTGTCTCGTAGAACATCTGATAAGGACATCCAGTCTTTTTTTCTTTTTTTTTAATTTCTAATTGAACTTTTTTTCATTTTGGACCTTATTTCATTTTTGTGGACTTTATTTTGTTTTGGATTTTTATTGGGCTTGTATTGGCTCAGTCCAGTTTCGTTAGGATTTACTTTACCATTTAAACCTATCTTGCGATGTAATTTATTTCAGTTGATGAATGAATAATTATTTTGGTGGCTTGTGACAACTTTCTCCCTTCTACTGATTCTTCTATTGATTCTTCTTCTACCCCCGTTCTTCCCCCAATTCCCTCTTCCCCATAGATTCGTTATCACTTTCAATTAAATGTTCCAGTTGGTCCTGCATCAACATCTGAACTCTATTTTTATTCACTATTTATTAGTTAAAGATTGAATATCCATTCATTTGCATTTGATTAGTCATATAGCCCATGTGGCATAATACTTGTACTGCATATTGGCAGCGTCTTTGGGAATTATGTAGCTGTTAGGACTATCTCATTCATGTAGGAAAATTCTCTTGTAATCAGATTGTCTTTGAGACATCCTCCTGTGTTTTGACTTTTTCGTTCGTTTTTACATTTTTCTCAGATCTCCTTGTATTGTTTCTAATGAACATCCTGTTATATTCTGTCTTGTCTTCATTTTGTTCCAGTACTTCGTCGAAGCCGGCGCCATTGCCGTGAGACGTGTCCGCAAGGAGGACTTGCGCCATGTTGCCAAGGCGACTGGTGCAACTGTGGTACTTTTCATATATATTCCTGAGATCAATAGTTTTCCTTTCAATCTTGTTTTTTAATATTATGATGACTGTATTCTGCTTAAATTTGCCAGAGTTCAAAATGTTGGTAAAAGGACCAAGAAGATAAAAAAGAAATATGTCATAAACCAGCATGTAGAAAGACTTGGAAATCTGAAGTTTGCTACTGTTGTGAATGAGTTTTTGCCAATGTATCTAGTGTTACTATTTTTTGTATTCAAGGGGAAGCGTAATTTTTGGGTGATTCTTGCCGTATCCGTGGTTGTTCCATTATATTTAAGTTGCAAAAAGTAGACAGACCGACCTTTTTAAGTTTCTGATGTATATGCCTTGCTCTGTTCACATTAAACGTATATATAAGAATATCATTTTTTAGGTTGACAAGCTACCTTTGCCTGTGGTTATCTTGAAGTTTTTACATGCTAGAAAAGGATTTTTATGTTCACCTTTCAATAAATTGTAAATACATTTATATTTATTCTTTGTACTTACAATTGATGTTCACTTAATGTTGTATTAATGAAGTCAAAGAAGATAGACGGAAGAAAAAATGGAGCCAAGGGAATTTCCGAACACTTATATTTTCTAATTTATCCTAGCTAAATCAAGAGTTGAAAGACTGAGAAACTAAGAAGCACTGCCATTCATGAATGAATCTGATGAGTATTTGATGGCCAAGTATTTTATTCTTTTTCAATGCTGCAGGTTTCGACATTTGCAGATATGGAAGGAGAAGAAACATTTGATTCGTCTCTTCTTGGTTATGCTGATGAAGTAGTGGAGGAACGTATTGCTGATGATGATGTGATTATGATAAAAGGGACCAAAACTACCAGTGCGGTATGAATTATATTCCCTAAGAAATTCAATATATCACATTTTAAAGTCCTCTGTTCAGTTTTTAGTTTTAAAGTTTGCTGCTTTCCATGAACTGGATCCAGTATGGTTCTTTTTACTTGTGTTTCAATTCAATCACATTTTTTTTTTTAATTCAAAGCATTGACAAATGATCAAGATCAAGATGCATAATTCATTTTGAGGATTATATGATTTGTCTGAATCGTGTGCTTTCTTCAGGTCTCATTGATACTCAGGGGTGCCAATGACTTCATGCTCGACGAGATGGACAGGGCTTTGCACGATGCTTTATGCATTGTCAAAAGAACTCTGGAATCTAATACGGTAAACCCTGCAAGAGCTGGTTGCTTTATTCTATTCTGAAGATTATCCTTGTTTTTGTTGGTCTCAACTGTCAATTGTCACTATTAATTTCCTTCTGTTTATCCAATCTTCTACACACTGCAATTCTTTTTTTGTTTTTTCAATTATATTACGGGCTTGTACCTGTTTTTACATCATTTAGGGCTAATTAATATCATCATAAATCAATGTCATGCCATTTTCTTTGGGAATGGAGAAAAAATAGTCATGGCTGTAAATGTTGACATTATTTATGTGATTCTTAGTACCTCTTTGTAGGTATATTAGACCTGCATGGCCTTCTTGTATTTTAGCCTGTTGATTTGTTCATCGATTGGAATGCTAATATTTTATGGCCTGCATTAAAATAATAATAAAAATAATAATTTTAAATTTTAAAAAAAAATTGCACTGTGTTTTTGGAATATTATGGAAACACAGGTAGTTGCTGGTGGAGGTGCAGTTGAAGCTGCCTTGTCTGTCTATCTGGAGAACCTAGCCACCACTCTTGGATCTAGGGAGCAGCTGGCTATTGCAGAGTTTGCTGAATCATTTCTAATTATACCGAAGGTCATCCATGAAACAAAATCAAGCTTTTTCCCAAAATCAATCTCTTATTCTCATAGTTCATCTTTGAATTTCTTAACAAATTTGGGAATATTTCTCTGCAGGTTCTTGCTGTGAATGCTGCTAAAGATGCAACTGAGTTGGTTGCTAAGCTACGTGCTTACCACCACACTGCACAAACCAAGGCAGATAAGAAGCATTTATCAAGGTACTTAGTGTTTTTTTTTTTTTTTTTTTTTTTTTTTTTTTTTTTTTTTTGGGGAGAATGTAAACATTGGCTCACAATATATTGTAGTTTGCTTCGGAAATATTGAGTAGTTTTAGCGAAGAATGTCTTTGGTACTCTTTATGCTGGTCATATGATCTGCACCGATCATAACAAGCTTGGATGCTTTAGTTCTTCACACCTCCCCTTACCCTTCCTGTTATTACATTTAATTATTTGATGGAAACTTTAATGGGAAACTACATTATTGTTATGAAATAAGATTTTTGGTTCTTTTTTTTTTTTTTTTTTAAATGTCAAACCGTTTTATTGTTTTTCAAGGTGTTCTCTGACCATGCCTTCCACTTACGGTTGCAGCATGGGTCTTGACCTGGGGAAGGGTACTGTTCGAAACAATTTAGAAGCAGGAGTTATTGAGCCAGCAATGAGCAAAGTGAAGATAATTCAGGTACGTGTCTACAACATGAAATTTGACCTTTTAGCACGTAGTTTAAGCCCTGATTAAACGTTTTTGTAATTTTTTTCGTCAGTTTGCAACTGAAGCAGCAATAACTATTCTTCGAATCGATGACATGATCAAGCTTGTTAAAGACGAAAGTCAGAACGAAGAGTGATTTTTACACTTGCTATAGAAATGATCGATGAGGTTTGGTAAGGGACACTTGGATGCTTCGGGGACGGGGGAGGGTGCCTATTTAAGTAGTTTGGATTCAATTTTGTCTGCTTTGTTTACATGGTTTTGAATTGAGAAGTGAATGCAATGATCTATGGCAGGGCAGCGGTACTTCCTTTAATTAAGAGTTCATTTCTTTAATTAATGGTTTTTGTTCGGTTTTTTGCCAAAATTCTTCGGTTAAATAAAATAAGCTCTTATCTAACAAGTAATCGATTCTCCATCCACTTTTCTAAAAGGTGCGCATTGGCAGCACCTAGGTGTCACCAATCCACGATGCGCGGTGCAAATGCCAAACCAAATGACTTCGCGCTTTATTTAGCGGTCAACAGCAATCATTGACCGCTAATGTGCGTCTAGGTGCGGTTATGTGTATCTAGGCACACATAATTATCATATTTTTTTTAAAAAAAAAAATTTAATTTTTTTTTACAATTCTTCTAAGTTAAAATTAAAATGTTGATTTTTTCATTTCGTAGATTCTAAATTCAAAATAATTGTTTGAAGCCTTGAACAAAGGAAATTTCTCAAAAATTCTATTTATTTACTATTTAATATTTACATTTGAAATTTATCTTTTTGTTGACAACTTTGAAAAAATGTGTAAATCTCTTACAAATTTGTTTTAGATGTTTGGCAAGTATTATTTTTAATTATTAAACGATTTTTCGATTGATTAAAAATTAAAATTATATTAAAAAAGGAAACATCTTTTTACACTTTTTTATGCCCATGATTCATCCAAACTCATCTAGTCCATAGTTTGGTCTTCACTTTTAGAACACTGTTTTCAGAGGTTAGAATTTTTTTTTTATTTTTTTTTTTTTTTATGCATTTCTACGTTCATTTATATTGATCTGAAGTTTTATAAATTTGTATCTCTCATTATGTGAAGGGACTAAACAATGAGATTTTTTATCGCGTGGAATAAAGACTCTTTCATCATAGACCTTGAGCGTTTCATTATTTGGAGAAATTCTACTTGGCATGTTTGAAATATTAGATTGGACAGTACTTGACAGAATTAAATATCAAAATGTTCAGATCTTGTAAAGTTTTTTATGAAGATTGAATATGGATGATTTTAATTTCATTTAGGCAATTTTATTTACGTACTTTATTTTAATTTATAATTAGTTTAGTCTTTAATTAATACTAGGATTTTTAATTTCCATAATTTTAATTTGATTAGAATTTAATTCCATTTAGAGTGAGCTGGTTGCAATTCAAATTTCATTCAATTCCCTGGCCATAAAGTTCAGTAAATAAAATTTGGATAATAACTAAACTTTTAGACAAGGACTAACTCTAGATAATAATAAAATTAAAGGTAATGACTAACTTTAAATGGAATTAAAAATTTAATCTAATTAAAATTATGAAAATTAAGAGTCTTAGCCTTTGTTTGAGTTTTATTTTTTTCATCAAAATGTATTTTTAAACTGTGATTTGATCTAATTTTAACTATATATTTTTCAATACAATAGTATTATACGTAAATTCAAAATTTTTCTTTATTTTTTTATTATTCATTATCCATTATAGAATAGTACATAATTTGAAAAAGGAGGGTGCGGGGGCGGGGGGGGAATTAAGCCTCTATTTGATATCGATTAAAATTTAAATACTAATTTAAGATAAAATCAAGAATTCATTTCAATCATGTACTTTATAGGTTCCACAACTTTTTAATCATATATTTCATCAACTTTTAACAAAATTTATTAAAAATTTGATTTTAATTCTCACCAAATTGAAGCTACAAATTAAACTAACTATAAAATAAAATAAAATATATTAATACAATTGTCTAAATTATATTAAAATCATCCATATTCAATCTTCATCAATTATCCATTTAATTTTTCATCCCATTTGGGTCTCCTCTTGACAACTGGGTTAATAAAGACTAATCCTGTTTAAAACTTTTGCTAAAAGGTGACATACCATGTAGATTTCGTTGGAAAAATGAGCAAAGCCCTAACGTTAACAAAAACAAAAAATAAACAATAAGGAAAAGATGGAAGTTTAAAAACTTTTACTAACCTTAACACAATAAGTACTTGTTTGGTACAGATTTTATACCAATTAAAATCAATTTTTTGATCGTTATTTCACTATTTCAGCCGTCATTTTTGAATTCTTCTCTTACTGGTAGAATCCACTTTATCTCTAATGGTCAAAAAATCAATTATCAAAACCCCTACCAAACAATCACACAATTAAAGCATAAAACATGAGATAACATTTATAAAAAAAGCAAATCGAGGTTTTTGCACGAGAGGATTGCATTTAATCTATAGAAACTAGTTGCACTATTCCTATTGGCGTCTTTCAAGAGTGCTCGCTACACAAATTATTCTAATACTTCATATGCATTGGAAAAAATTTAAAAAAAAAAAAAAAAAAAAAAAAAAAAGGAGCAGTATCAATAATTTGGATTACAAAACCAAACAGAACTTGGGAACTATTGTCCGAGAGATGACTTCAATTTGGAGCTCTTTCAATGTGCACATCCATTGAAGCAACAGTGGACCCTTCTGGATTATGATTGAGTTCAAAAGTGCAAACATTTCCATTTTTTAGCTTGTTGGATTCATAAAACTGCTTCCAGCCCCTAAGCATAATTAAACGATGATAACTTGTACCATTTTTGTCAAATTTTAGTTCCACTGGCCATTTCTTGCCTGAAGGATCTCTCAGATTTACACTAGTCTTCTCATTCAGGCCATTCGATTTCCAAAATTTTGCCGGAATACGCTGAAATTCAAGAAATAAAAAAAAATAACTTAATTTAAGCAAGATAATCAATTTTTTTTATACAAAACTTATGAAAGAAGATCAAGATTTCAGTATATGGTGTCCATCTAAGGCAAAACTCACCACATACTGCGCCCTCGAACCAGGAGAATTATGTTGTTTTATTGTTATGACAAAATATGGATTATTCCTCTGCTGGAATGAAGCACCTGAATTTACTGCAATTTTTCATACAAATCTGCCTGAGAAGCCATTTTTTTTGGGAAAATGCCAAACGAACATAATGTTTGACACAAAGGATGACACCGCACTCACAGCCAAAGTTTGGGTCCCGTACGAATAAAATAATGTCGACCTCCCATGTGCATGTGAGTATACTGTATCAACCAATGTGTCAAATTATGTGGTAATGTAGTATGGTTGTTTTTTTTATTTGAGATATGCTACAGGTAGAGTTGCTTTGACAACAACTATGATAGCCGTCTCAAATTAGGGGGTGGGGCCCAAGATTAAAACGTTTTGTGAGAGAGTTGTTACGGACTCGTATTAAGCTCATGCATCAAATTGAAAACACAAAAGAATGATATACTAACTAGCTGAAAACTTACTCTTAATGGCTCCCAAATTACGGTCGAATTCTTTCTCGCAGGCAGTAAAATCAAAGACGAAAGCATTGAAATTCATTTCCCCCATGTGTTCATGTTGGGAATCTACTTATACATACACAGCGGAATTTAAAATATATTTCGATTCCCATCCAATAGATCTCATTGTGTTTGGTTAGGAATTGTGATAAGATTGTACCTTTTCAGATCTGCAATCCTTTTGCTTTTCTTTTCGTTCCACAACTTTGATTCGCCACCACAGCTGTCCAATTGTCCAGCCTCCAACGGTGATCCACACAGAGAATTTGATTGCAGCCTCTAGGGTTTTCTCTTGTGCTAGCAAGAATAATGAAAACCTTAATGGACCTCAAACCCTAGCTATGTATTTATATAAACCCAAACAGGCTCGGCCCCGGTCCGGTCCAATAATTAATTAATCCAATTAATTAAATCCGGTCCGTGAATTAATTAATCCAATTAATTAATTCGAAAATATAAATAACAAATCCAATTAATTAATTTATCCAACGATTGTTAAATTAATCAATTGGCAATTTGCAATCTTCCAATTCTCTTTTGTGTGTGACCCATTAGGTTCCCGACCACGATGCCTAACGACGTGAAATATTATTTTGATCTAATCAAAATTGATAAATTAAAACACTCTTTTAATTTATCGTCAATTCACATTCGCCGTCCCTGATTGACATCTAGCAATGTGTCAGGGCAATACATGTGACGGGAAATGTCACGTGGTATGACAAAATCAAATTCGTTCGTTTACCGTGAAACTATAATCCCTTCGTCAATATGATCCGATCAATTACGAGATATGGAATTGTGTCAATCTCGATCATCGATCATATCTTTCACTCCACTATTAAGTCAATATAAATCGAAAACTCCTTTTCGACTCATGAGTACACCTTGGCCAAGGATTTCATCATTGACTTAATTGAATGAAACGCAGATCATAATCTCCTACTATCTAAGAGTGACGAATCCTTTATTGATCAATCACAACCTTCATACGATTCTTGACGTACCCGAACGATGTCGTATTAGCGGCCCTTTTCAGAGCAACATCCAACACCGCCAAAGTATGACTGTCCTCATATAAGGTACCATGACGACCTCAAGTCAAAGGACCAATTTCACTACCGAACGTTAGAGATTAACCACTGACACTCAGATAGT